TTTACACCACCAGACAACTGGCGCATATGTTATAATAGGTCTGACCATCATCGTATAGATCCAGTGCATCGATTTTGGGGATATCCCCCATCGTATTCCGCACACTCTCTTACATTGAAATAGGGAACTTTTCGTTTTTCTGATCTTTTCATCCACATGTTCATTCCAAGCCAGTTTATTATCTAGGACAACACCTAGATAATTCACCGACTTTGATATGCAAATGTTATTATCGAAAAGTTGTAAGGGCTCCATTGACAGACTTCTCTTCCTCGTGAAGAGGATAGTGTCTGATTTCGTGGCATTGATGGCCAGGCCTTGTTCCCTACACCATTTTTCGACGGATTTAAGATCACCTCTCATCACGTTTCTAATGGTGTCTGGGAACTTGCCGTTCACCATCAGTGCTATATCGTCCGCATACCCAATTGTTTGTATGCCTTTAAAGTCAAGCTGTTGAAGTAGAGAATCTATGGTCACGTTCCACAGAAATGTTGAAAGTACCCCTCCCTGTGGGCAGCCTCTGACTGCTCTGCCTCTCAGTCTATGTCTTCCATTTTGTAGGTTTACAACTCTTTGCCTTAGCATGAAATCTATCCATCCAATAATGAGTGAACCGACTTCTCGGTCAGCTAGAGCATATATTAATTTATCAAAGCTTGCTTTGTCAAAGGCTCCTTCGATGTTCATCATGATGCCATCGAAATGCCTCCTGAAGTTAGCTCTCTCTCAGCTGTCCTCACGACCTAGTGCAGGGCAGTTTCTGTGGATCTCCCCACCCTATAGGCATGTTGACATCTACTTAAAGGATATTTCATTAGCGTGGTGCCTTCCAGATAGTCAACTATTACCTTTTCCATAGCTTTAAGCATGAAAGAGGTAAGGCTAACTAGCCTAAATGACTTTGCTTCTGTGTAATCCTTCTTTCCTGGCTTTGGGAGAAAGGTCACCCTTGACTCTCTCCAAGCCTAAGGGACGTACCTTGTTGCCGGTGACGTCGTTAATATCTCCGTGAGCCTAACTGCGAGCAGATCAATTCCCCATCGCAGGAGTGCTGGAAATATGTCATCCAACTCCAGTGACTTAAATGGAGCGAATGTCAAGATGGCATTCCTTACTGCATTTAGGGTCACTATCCTTTCTGCTTCAAATCTTTCCTCTCTGTTCATTGCCCTTTTGGGAGAAGGCCAGTGATAATCATATTTGAAACTTCCTGGAAAATGGATGTCCATAAGAGTACTCAATGACTCCCCAACGGTCGCTGTCATTGTACCATCCTTCTTTCGGATTAAACCAAGCCTTGAGACCGGATCTTTGGTGACCATCTTTTGTAACCGACTTACTTCAGAGGTCCCCTTCATGCTCGAACAGAAATTCCATCACGACCTCCGTTTCCGGTTGCGTAGTACTTTCTTAAATTCACGCTTTTTGGCCTTGTGATACTGAGTTCTTCTCACTCATGTATTTATTAAAGGCTTTCCTTGTCTCCTTTTTTATTACATTAAAGTCCTGACTCCACCAGTGTGTCGACGACTTTTCTGCAATGTTGGTTTGGGGACAAGCGTTTTCGAATGCATTAATCATCGTAGCAAATGTAGTAATTAGTTGGGAGCATCTTTTTAAGCTTAAATAATAGGCCGTTGCGCCAAACTTTTTACAAAAAAATGCGAAATAAAATTCTCATGTGTATACACGCGCATAAAAGGATGGAAACGAAAACATCGTTTTCATCGGTGATGTTTAAAAAATTGTTGAAAAATTGTTTGTGTAATGGCAAGCGAAAACATCGCTCGATGACATCGGCCGATGCCGTCTAATGGGCCCTTTAGGTGTATGAATAAAGGCATCCCAGTTGGTTAATTTGTTGTGCAGATAATATTTTTGAGCTTTAAGTTGTATATTCGATTTTATTCGTAATAAAACTGGAGAGTGATCTGATGAATGATCAAAGCTAGATTTATAGGATGTGCCATTTTGTTGCACTCCTTTAGTAACACAGAAGTCTGACAAGTCTGGTATTTTTTTGGAATCCGTGGGATCCGTTGGTTGTCAAGACTAGATAATTAAAAGATTTTCGCTTCTTATAGCCGCAAGCATCTGCCGTCCTTTGGGTGTTGAAAGCCGAGAGCCACATTCAACGTGTTTAGCATTAAAATTTCCCCCCGCAATAAATCTGTTACCTAGAGTTCTAAAGAATTTTATGTATGTTGCCGTCTTAGTTGCGTGTTTTGGTGAACAATATACTGATGTTATTGTGATTGGGCCACACCAATCTTTTGTTGAAATACTGGTTGCTTGAATCTCTTCAGTGCGATATTGTTGCAATTCAAATGTCACTTCCGCCATGAGCTGTTCCATTGGGATGCATAGTGTGGTAAAAGTTATAGCCTGGTACTTTAAAATAATGTTTTGAAGTAAAACGTGTTTCAGATATTAGCATGTTGTCTACTTTTTGATCTTTTAAAAATTTTTGTAGCTCTAAACAGTGTTTTGACAGTCCATTCGCATTCTAGAGGATTATATTTATTTCACTGTCGGATATAATTTAGTTGTCAGCGTGACAAGAACATTCATCCACGTAGTGATTTTTTCTAACATTTGCTTTACTACTATCGCTTATTGTATCTGGAGATTTTGGAATAGTAATAGATTCAGGTGATTGATCCACTAGCACGCTAGCATAACTTCTATTGGAAACCCTTGCGATAGAAGCTTTGTCTTTTCCTTTGTCAGTTTCTTTGTTTGTAGTTGATGTTGGTTTGGGTTTTAGGGTTAGAAATTTCACCGTTTGTAGCTGCTTATAGATCGAACAACCTTTATAATTTGCAGGATGGTTTCCTTCGCATAAGACGCATTTGACTTCAATACTTCTTCCTTGGATTGGACATTGAGACGAAGAATGATTTTTTGTACATTTGATACACCTCGGATGTCTTCGACAATAACTTTTCGTGTGGCTATAGTCTTGGCAGTTACTACACTGACGAATGTCCCGTTTAGAACGAGGAGGCTCACACGTGACATGGCAATACATCAAATTCTTTATGCTGTAGATCTCCTTGTTATTTTGATGAGGCTCAAGTTCTTCAATGAAGAGAGGAAGTGGTTTTTTCGATTCTCCGTGTTTCATATTGAACACATTTAAAGCTTTATGGCCAATTTCCGCCAAAGCTGTTTTAACGTCCTCGGTGTTGACAGACGAATGCATGTTTCTCAAAATAGCTTTAAAATTTCGTTCATCTTTATGCTTGTAGGTATAAAATTCAATTATTTTTTTAGAATCGAGTTGTTTTATATAACATAAGACTCAGTGGTTTTCGCTTGGATCTTTACTTTTTCGTTGTTTAAAACTTTTAGTTCAAAATTGTTTCCTACTTGTGGGGATAAAAGATTTATGATAGGATTTATATTATTCACCCTATCTACGAATATTGGTGGAGGTTTGGGCAGCTTTTTGGCATCTTGCATCATTTCTTCAGCTTCTTCTTCTTCTATTTCTAGTACTGAAAATCTATTTACAAAACGGCTTGGATTGTCTAGCCAGCAACTATCTAATTTAGCTTGTTTTTTAGTTTGTTCAGCATTTTTTGAACGGCGAATTTTGGGACTTGAAGCAGTTCTTTTCTGACTTTCTTTTTGAACTTTGATTTTTTGTACTGAAGAGTTTTCAAGAGAATTGCTTAATATGTTTTCTTTTAAGTGAGTATTTCTTTTCGATTGAGTATGTTTTTGGAGAATTTTTTGACTGTTCTGCTCTTTGTGCACAGATGATGTAGTAGGCATTTCGTTCAGTATAATGTTTGATATATTAGCGATTGAACTTACCGACGTTGTTAGAACCACAGATAAGGCATGAGTAGAAGAAACGGTTATCTGAGTTGATGTAGAATTCAAGGTGTTAGTTATCGAGTTTGCAGTGCTTACTGTGACGCTATTTGTAATACATGTTGAAGTTGGGCAGGTATATTGGGGAGAATCCCAGCGTGAGCGTATGTGGTGAGCTTATCAGTGAGGTACGGCATTGTTCACTCCAAGAGTCAAATACACTATCTAGTTTTTGGTGTAAACAAGTGTCGTAATTTTTTTCACATGGGTTTGGGTTGTTTTCGGGATTTAGCTGTTTCTGGCTTCGTGTTGCTAATGGACTTCGTTGAACACTCATTATTTAAAATTATTACCTAATGACTACAATTTATATTGCATTACTTTCTTATTATACTACTATGGGACTCAACGTATGGTTCACCATACGCCTTTTTCCGCGTCTGGTGGCAAGTAACTGTTACTATGGCGTCGACAAAAATTACGAAAATTGTATTTGGACTTTTGTTAACACATGTTTTAACAAATAAATTAGTTTTTATTTCTATTTATTTTAATTTTCATTTGATTAAGAAAAGCATTTTTTTAGACACAATTTATTTCTGAACAGGTGAACTCATGAATAGACGAAAACTATTCGAAATTCATATTTTTATATTATTAAGATATCAAACTAAGTTGTTGGAGCAAAACAAAACATCTAACTTGACTGCTCCACACTGTATGTAGATTTTATTCATTTCGTAAATTCGCTGCACTTGCAGAGAGCAAAACGACCGTTTTGCGCTTTGTTTTACTGTTGTGTTGTTGAAGAATTGAGAGTTGGTTCCCGTTTCAGCTGACACATTTTTTACTGTGCGCGAAGTCTACGGATGTCTTTTTTAGTGAAAAGTAAATGATCAATTTTTTTGTTAATAAATTACATATTTTACATTTGTTAAAATTACATTTGTTAAAATTACAAAAATTATATACTCTAAATTCATTGTATTTAAATTATAAAATTTAAATTTCCAATTTAAAACAATTATACATTTTACATACATTTTACATTTTACATTTGGTGAAAATAATTTAATAAAAAATTAAATTTACAATTGAATTCAAACATTTCGTTTGTTTTACTATTCGAGACTAAACATTGGCGACCGTGACAGGACACGTGTCCTAGCAATAAAATGAATACCGATAATGATAACAATCCAACCAGCAATGCAAGCAATAATGCAGCTAATACGGCTAATAATGCAGTCAATTCAAGTAATAATTCTGCTCTTAATTTAAATAATTTAAAGCAGCAGCGATCAACAGTGAAAAGGAACATGACCTCGATTCGATCTAAAATAGAGAAGGAGAAGGACGAAGTAGATCCAACAATTCTGGAATGTCGACTACAAATTCTAGAATCTCATTTCAAACAATTATGCCATATTCAATCACAAATCGAACAATTAAATCCAGAAGACAATGCCAGAGCTGATTTTGAAGAGCTATTTGTTGTTTCAAAGGCGAAAATACTTAATTTGCTTAAAGAAACTCGAAGTAATACTTCATTTGAAAATAGTGTGATGAATACAACATCCAATTTCAGTGTTGCCCACAATTCTCGTTTACCATTTTTAAAATTGCCAAAATTTGACGGAAAATATGCCAACTACAATCGATTTATCGCAGCATTTAAGCATTTGGTGCACAATGACCCAACCTTATCTAATGTCGATAAATTCAATTATTTATTATCATGTCTTACAGGCCCTGCACTTGCAGTCATCGAAGCCTTTCAAATTACAGCAGAAAATTATCCAAAGGCTATGGCACGATTGAAAGAACGTTTCGGTAATAAGGTATTAATATTCTTAGACCACATTACTGAACTCTTTAATATTCCAGGAATGATTAAAGCTGATCCGGCTTCTCTACGTAAACTAATTGATACTGTTGCAGCATTAAGATCATCGTTGCTTTCATTGGGCTCAGAAGTAGAAGTTATGAATGCTATTATAATTTATATAGTCCTAAGTAAAGTTGATGCAGAAACAAAATTTGCACATGACGAAAAGCAAGAATTTGAAAAAATGCCCTCTTGGGACGAATGTTATAAGATGTTAAGTCGGCGTTGTCAATTTCTTGAAGGACGAGCTAAGTCTATAAACGCTTCCGAAAATAAATCACGAAATAATTTTAATACTGTACCAAGAAGAGTATTACAAACGCATCTCAGTGTCAAATCTGGTTGTGAATTTTGCAAGGCAGCTGACCACTTTTTAGGAAAATGCCCTTCGTTTTTAGCAACGCCAGTTTCTCAGCGCTTTGACTTTGTTAAGAAAGCAGGCTGCTGCATAAATTGTTTGACAAAAGGGCACTCCGTTACAAAATGTAAATTCGAATCACGTTGCAGAATTTGTCGTTCATCACATCATACTCATTTACACAAATTTACAAATACTTTGATTAATTCATCAATTAGTTGTCCAAGTATCGCAATTCAAGAGCAAGGACAGCTACAACAATCTAACAGCGCTGTAACATCATTATTAATTCAGTCTTCAAAAAGAGCAATTATTCCTACTGTTCTGGTATTTGTGATGGACAAGTTTGGGCTTAAGCATCCAGTGCGCGCACTTTTAGATTCCTGTTCCGAATTAAACTTTATTACAGAGGAAACAGCCAAATTATTGCATTTAAAATGGCAATACTCTACTCAAGAAGTCTTTGGTATTTCCAATTTGAAAACACATTTCAATTATAATGTATATGCAACTGTGCATTCTCGCACGTCCGATTTTGAATGGTCTTCTCAGTTTACAATTACGAAATCTATTTCCTCCGTAAACCATAGAGCCTACATTAATGTAACAAAATTTCAAATTCCTACTAATATTCAATTAGCGGATCCATTATTCGATAGACCTTGTCAAGTGGACATGCTGATTGGTGCAGAAATCTTCTTTGATTTATTACTTGATGGCAAAATTTCGTTAGGCAAAGACATGCCATATTTAATTAACACTGTTTTCGGTTGGGTAGCAGGAGGCACGCATAGTACAGACTTATGTTCTAAATCATTTGAATGCAACTTTACTCAAAAATCACACAATGAAGATACATTTCTTGAACGATTTTGGGAATTAGAAGAATACAAAATAAGCTCCCCGCAACTCAGCGCAGAGGAGAAAAATTGCGAACAGCACTACATCAAAACAGTAACAATCAGCGAAAATGGGCGAGTTCAAGTAAGATTACCTTTTAAAGTCAACCCCGATGTTTTAGGAAAATGATTTCATCTAGTTAAACAACGTTTTCTTTCACTGGAGTATAGGTTGCAACGAGATCAAGTTCTATACAAAATGTACTCAGAGTTCATGAATGAATATGTATCATTAGGGCACATGTCTAATATAAAAGCAGTAGATTTCTCGAAGCCACACTATTTCATACCACACCACTGCGTTTTAAGGCCTCAAAGTCTCACAACAAAGCTTCGAGTCGTGTTTGATGCTTCAGCAAAGACTTGCTCTAAGTATTCTCTAAACGACACACTTATGGTTGGACCGACTATTCAACAAGATTTAATAACTACGCTCATGGCATTTCGATTACATAAGTATGCATTGACAGCGGACATTGCAAAAATGTACCGCCAATTTTTGATGGACAAACGTGATAGATGGTTTCAGTTAGTGTTGTGGCGAGATAATCCTCACGCTGATTTACAGATTTTTCAATTAAATACAGTGACGTATGGAACATCATCCGCTCCGTTTCTGGCTATTCGATCGCTCTTTCACATTGCAGACATGCATATTCATAAATTTCCAATTGGTGCTTCTACGTTAAAAACAGATCTCTATGTTGATGATCTTCTCACCGGCGCTAATACTATTACTGAATTACTAAACAAAAAAATAGAAATTACAAATTTACTATCAAAGGCTGGATTACAACTCGCAAAATGGAGTTCTAATTGCGACAAAGTAGTGTCGAGCAGTGATGAAAGTTTCAATATCAAATCTAGCGCAGATCCCATCACGAAGGCTTTAGGCATGGTTTGGAAACCAAAAAGTGATTTATTCTGTTTTCAATACGAAATTCCGACTCATGACATTCATACAAAGCGATCGGTTCTATCAACTGTGGCTAAAATTTTTGATTTATTGGGACTTTTAAGTCCAATTATCGTACGATGTAAAATTCTAATTCAGGAAATTTGGATACAAAATTTGAGTTGGGATGAAACTCTGCCTCCAAAGTTACTAACATCATGGTTAAACATAAGAGATGATTTATACTTTTTAAATTCTATTAATGTACCTCGTTATGTTTTTACTGACAGTGAAATTAAGAGTGAAGTTCACGGATTTTCCGATGCTTCACAGCGTGCCTACGGTTGTTGCATTTATATACGTACAAGATTGAATGATACATGGAATGTAACTCTTTTAATTGCTAAATCAAAGGTAGCGCCGATTAAGGCACAATCCCTACCGAGACTTGAACTGTGTGCAGCCCTCTTATTAAGTAGAACATGGAATAAAGTCATGTCCAAGGTTGAACAATTCGTGAATTCAGTATATTTTTGGACAGATTCTGAGGTGGTTTTACAGTGGCTACAAATGCATTCATCTTCTCTTAATTGTTTTGTAGCAAATCGTACATCAGAAATTCAAGAAATGACCAAAAACATCAAATGGCATCACGTACCATCTAAAGACAATCCTGCAGACATTGTTTCTCGCGGTTGTAATGCTGAAGAATTACCTAAAACAATATGGTTCAGCGGACCTGCATTTTTGTATTTACATACAGATCAATGGCCATCACGTAAAATTGGTGATATTAAAGCACATCCAATAGAACTACGCAAAACACTCACATTAAAGTGCAGAAAGATTGATAATGAGAACTCAATACTTTTAGAGATAATACACAATAATTCATCTTACTATAGAATTTTACGTATATGTACTTATATTTTTCGAATGTTTAACAAAGAATGCCCTGACAAACAATTAAAGCTAACTGATATCATGCACATATCATCAAAGGAATTAGACATCACCTTTTGGAAAATCATTGCTGAAATACAACGTGTAACCTATTCACATGAGATTAATTTATTGGAACGTGGTAAGACCATAAGCAATAACTTACAAAAACTTTCTCCGTTCCTACATACAAATGTGAAAGGCAACAATGAGATAAAAATTCTTCGAGTTGGTGGAAGACTACTAAACGCAGAAATTCCCTTTGATGCTAAATTTCCAGCGTTGGTTCCGAAACATGATCGATTTGTGCAGCTTTATATTGACTTTCTACACAAAGAAAATTTACATGCTGGACCAAAGGTATTAATCGCTCTACTCCGTCAGAAATTGTGGATAATTAATGCAAGAGAAGCAGTGAGAAAGGTTGTTAGCTCATGCGTTCACTGTTTTCGGTACAAACCAAAATTATTGAATCAAATTATGGGAAACTTGCCAGCTGATCGTCTCAAGGCACAACGTCCATTTTTGATTAGTGGCATCTTTTTGCAGACCATTTTTCACATCATACCGTATACGAGGTTAAGCTCCTTATAAAACTTATGTTGCAATATTTGTTTGTTTTGCTTCGAAGGCATGTCATATCGAAGTAGTCACCGAATTATCAACTAATGCATTTCTTCTTTGTCTCAAAAGATTTATTGCTAGAAGAGGTGTTCCACAACGGCTATATTGCGATAATGCAACAAATTTTGTTGGCGCACAGAAGAAATTAAGAGATTTTGCTAGTAAATTTTTTCAGCAGAAGTCAATTAATGAAATAATGACTTTCTGCGGTAAGTCTAATTTCGAATTTTGTTTTATTCCTCCTAGAGCTCCACACTTCGGTGGCCTTTGGGAGGCTGCTGTCAAATCAACCAAACTACTATTGGTGAAAAATGTTGCTGAAGCTAATCTAACGTTAGAAGAGTTTAATACACTAATAATTGAAATAGAAGCAATATTAAATTCTCGGCCTATTTGCGCAAACTCTGATGATCCCAACGACGGAGAAGCCTTAACTCCAGCACATTTGTTAATAGGTTCATCATTACATATTTAAAACGTCGTTTTTGGGAAATCTGGAAACGCGATTATATTCTATTTTTACAACAGCGAGCTAAATGGTTCAGTCCTGAACCCAATGTTAAACTTGGACAAATAGTAATCGTGCATGAAGATAATTTGCCTCCTCAAAGGTGGGTGTTAGCGCGTATAACCCAGATTCATCCAGGCACTGACGGAAAGGTTCGCGTAGTTGACGTATCTACACCACAGCGTACATTTAAACGTCCAATTCAGAAAATTGCTCCTTTACCGTGTGATACTTGTTGAAACTATAGCATTCAACAGGGGGGAGTATGTTGGAGCAAAACAAAACATCTAACTTGACTGCTCCACCCTGTATGTAGATTTTATTTATTTCGTAAATTCGCTGCACTTGCAGAGAGCAAAACGACCGTTTTGCGCTTTGTTTTACTGTTGTGTTGTTGAAGAATTGAGAGTTGGTTCCCGTTTCAGCTGACACATTTTTTACTGTGCGCGAAGTCTACGGATGTCTTTTTTAGTGAAAAGTAAATGATCAATTTTTTTGTTAATAAATTACATATTTTACATTTGTTAAAATTACATTTGTTAAAATTACAAAAATTATATACTCTAAATTCATTGTATTTAAATTATAAAATTTAAATTTCCAATTTAAAACAATTATACATTTTACATACATTTTACATTTTACATTTGGTGAAAATAATTTAATAAAAAATTAAATTTACAATTGAATTCAAACATTTCGTTTGTTTTACTATTCGAGACTAAACATAAGTAACAAACATAAAAAACATTAAATTAATTATTTTCATATATTTTTAAAAAATATTCAAACCTAGTCGTGTGGTGTACCACACTGAGGTACGAAATGAGTTAAAGTAATTCAAATATTTTTAGTTATTTCTACTATTATATACTATTAACAAAGGATCACTCTGGAAGGCTAATCAGGCTATAAAATCACCCGTTGAAGCAATACCTCCGTTAAGAAACTCTAGCGGTAAATGAGCTCGTAACGACAAAGAAAAATCTAATGTATTTACTAATCATCTAATTCGAAATGCCTTTAAGATTTACCAACTCAATTTTTCAACAATAATATTATCAACTAACAAATTTCCGAGGTCACCATCGCAGATAAACCTATAAGCTTGCTGCCTTGCCTGTCAAAATTGTTTGAGATAGTTTGAGAAAAATTTTATAAACTTTATTACTGAATCTTAACGGGCGCCCGTATTCGGGGTCGTTGTTTTGATTCTCAGTCATGTTAGATAAATTGATTCATGTTTATTCATGTTAAACTTGAAAAAGTAATAGTGGTGGTTTTCCGTTGCCTTCTACCGCTCTGCACATACCATTTAAATCGATATCACTGCGCTATCTGTTAATTCATGTATAACCATACCAGTTGTCTCAATCTCCGCCTATACGTGATACTGAGAATCTAGCTGCCATTCCCCAGCGCTATCTACAACCTTTTATCGATACTACTTTCGGAAAGCTTACAGTGGGGGTTTGTTACAAAGTTTACCATCTCCTGGCTGTTTGGTAAGCGGGGGATATTTCATTTCCCTCCTACCACCCATTACTGGGAGGCTTTCACTATCCACCACCTGCGACACACCCTGTACGGGTTACAGCCTTCCCCGAGAAATTCATTTACTATTTTTTTATTCATTTACTATTTTTTATTAAGTTTTGTTTTTAACTGGAATATAAATAATTGAATAAATAAACTACAAAATATCAAATAATTCTTATACTACGTTTATATTGTGAGGTTAAGAGAATAAGAATTAGGTAATCTGCATTTTTAATTTCCACTGTTCACATTATACATTGGAGATTAATATTGATGTTCCTCTTATGTTTTGTTAAGTGTGTTTGATAAATTTCTGTAAATAAAGCATTTAATTACAGCTTTGTTCAAAAAAATTGTAATATAAATTTATTATATACTTTTATTACAACATTTTAACAAATTTTAACAAATTTAATAGAACTTCACTCACTTTAGCTTTTTCAAATTAACAATGTTCGTTTTAAATAAATTTTGACTTCTCTCTTACAATTCTTCTAATATCATAAAAAAATCTACAATATGAAGACATTTGCAGAATTATATATTGAAGATAATTTCGTAAATAACATAAATTATCAGTTTGACTATTTAGCGCGAGCTCTTATGCAAAAGTAGATATTTTTCCAAAATATGTAGAGCTGTTATGAAAAAGGATAATTCGATCATAAAAAAAAATTTAATTTCCCTCACCAAATAAAGAAACTCGTTTAAATAGTCTCAAAATTCATTCGCGTGAAATTAATTTGATTCGCTGCATTAATTTGCGTAAAATAGCTAAACTTATACCGGGAGCTTCTAGTACAGAAGTTAAAGGTGTTTGCATAGAAGCTAGTATGTACGCAATGCGTGAGCGTCATGCGCATGTTACTCAAGAAGATTTTGAAATGGCTGTCGCTAAAGTTATGCAGAAGGATTCAGAGAAGAACATGTCAATTAAGAAATTATGGAAGTAAATTTTAGAACTTTTATATATTTACACAGCGAGTATCATGAAATGTTTATTGATTTGTAGTTGAATTATTTCTTGGATCTTCACAATTAAAAATTAAAAACTTTAATAACGTTGTTTGTATTTGCTAATTTTAAAAATGAAAAATTTCGCATCATGCCACAGTAAAAATCTATGGGAAGGTTGAATTTGTCTCGGACTTACTCAGCATCAACTAACCATTGCCACTAAATACTTAAAGTAGGATAAAGTAGGATCCAAAATAAATCAAAAGACATATTGGCTACAACAACAAAATGTTTAGAGAAGTTGCATAAATTAGAGTAGTGATTCTCGACTCAACGCATGCCATAAACCAAAAAAATGTATTTTACAAACAAAATGTTAAAAGCAACCAGTGCAAAGAGAAGTATCAATATTTTTCAGACAAATAGTATTAGGCCTTTTCAGTGGCTCGCAAATAAGGCAAAAAATGCATGCTGGCCTATGTTGGCCACGCGAGTCATTGGCATCACTGTTGCAATCTGTCAAATATTTTGTTTTCACAAACAGCAAATCTTGTTTATGTGCATAAAAATCAAGTATAGTATGTTTTTATAAAAATACTATACAATTAAAATGAATACGGAATTAAAAGGAATAGTAAGAATATTTGAAATATAAAAATAAAACAATGAGATAAGTAAACTTTTGTAGGTACTCTCGATGCGGGGTAAAAAATGCAACGTTTTGCAACCCCCGAGGCTATTAATTAATATATTTATTGTGGTTTTTTAAATAGAAAATTTTGTTTTACATTTATATGTTAGATGTAGTTTAGTTCAATAAGCAACAATATTTCAATGTGTAAATATTTTGTAATTTATTTATTAATAGCATAAATTAACGTGTAAGGTTTGTTTTAAGATTGAAATATTATAATGTTCTTACTCTAAAATAAAAATACTATACAACTACTACTAGAAACTTACTTGAACTTAAAATATTTTACATAAAAGTAAAATAAATAGTACAAATTTAAATATGAATTAAAGAAATTCTAAACTTAAACATATATATTACATGAAATGAATATAACATATTTTTAATTAAAATAAAAATATTTTATCAACTTATTTCTTATCATTAATAAATTATTTTAACTTACCATATACATAACTTTTTTGTAAAATTCATATAAATATGTTTACATATTATGCATAAGTTTTTTAAGTAATTTAAATTTATTTTCTTCCAATTTCAATTTTCTTTCCTTTAATTTCAATTCATGATCCCATTTCATTTTTATTTTTTCCTTTAATTCATTCATAGTTTCTTTAAAAATTTTATTTTCTCTTTCCCTATCATTTTCTTAGCAAATAACTTGTTTTCATAATATTCATGATGCACAGATTTTCTTTTGCGGTTGAATAATAAAATTGAAGGTTATGGCAATTCCTGCATTGACAATTCCTGCACTGGTGATTCCTGCGTTGACGATCCTTTCGTTGGCGATTCTTGCGTTGGCAATTCATGCGTTGGCGATTCCTGCATTGATGATTCATACATTGACGATTCATGCTTTGGCGATAGCTCAGCATGTGTTTGTACAATCACTGTCAAACCCTAACGTCGCTGTGTAATTATTTGAAATAATTGGTTTATCACCAAATATTTCGTTCTTCAACACCATGTAGGGTGTTGGCCGCTTTAAATACACTTAAAAGTGTGCGCATTTTTCCTTCTAAGCAGACTGAAGTAAAGTTATCCTAAAAAAATATATTTTATATCAATATAATTTTAATTTGAAATGATTACTGAAGTTATATGATACTTACTGCAATTCCATGTGCTGTAATATCCTCAAGCTCATGTTGGTATCCAAGTCTTTTTTTTTTGTTTCCAAAAACTCTTGCTTTTGTATCAAGTAGCACTCTACATTGCTCAATCTTTTGCGTTTTTATTATTTCTTCGTTACTTTTCAAGATTTTTACACATTTTTGAATTTTTGAATTTTTTTTGAATTTTTGACATATGGACTGCAATATTCGTTGGAATTTCCAATAAATGTTCACAATAGTTCGTTTATTGCGTTGGTAACACTTTTTTTTTTACTGGTCGATATTGTTGTTGTTTTGTGTACATTTCGGCCAGTATAGGCCAGGATAGGCCAGCAACTTGGTGTTCTTTGCCGTACTTGCGAGCCACCGAAAAGGCCTATTGTTAAAGTAAAAAATTCAATATTTTATAGGCCAGCAGTTCTAATCGCGAGCAGCTGAGTAACACTGGCTTAAAGTATGACACCATTATTTTGAAGTTATTTAGGCCATCATCATTCAGAGTTAACTGTCACAAAGTATATTTAAATTTATACAAAATAAAAAATTCAGAAAATAATTGTGTTGAATAAATCGAATTTTATTTTATTTATTAATGAATTACTAAAACCGTATTTACAACCATTATACTGTAACGACACAAATTTACAATTTACGACAAAAATAAAATCTGTGTGTCAACTAACTACTACCTCTATACATAATATAGATAAAAATAACTCACGTGAAGAAAACTGAAGTGGATTTAGCTAAAAAAAATATGAAATTGAATTAAAATGTTTATTTAAAAATCACATGGACATTACCTGCGATCCTCGGTTCCAACGTGCCGCGGGTATCGATACATGCAATGTGCAGAACCTAAAATATACGAAAAAAAATGAATTTTTTTTGTTACAAATTTTATGAATGGAAAACTTGTAAAGGAATTCTAAACACAACAACAAATGAACAATTATTAGAGAAAACACGTTTAATTATTAAACAAATATCTATTTAAAAAAAATATATAAATAAAATAAAACACAAAATAATTTAACACTCATGTTTGTACAATTTTATTTTTTATTTACGTAAACAAAACAAACTCCGACAATAACTAAGCACGCTGTTCAATAAGTCGTTTCTTATTGAAACTGAATCGACACTTGAATCGATTCAGTGTTGCTTATGTTTAAGAATCTGGCACTTGAACCAGTTGCTATTGCAAAATCTGAATTTGGCACTTAAACCAACTTCAGATGGATTCAAACAATATTTTTGAGCAACTAGGCACTTGAACCTATTTGCAGTTGAGTTTTAATAAGCACTTGAACTAATTAAAATGCAAGGGCTGTTTTGTATTGAATGATAAATTTATTAGAAAATGTTGAGGTTTTATACACATTTGGCAAGGTGTTGATGCATACAATTCCTACAATAATGCTCTATACCTTAAGCTGCATTAAAGTAGCGATTAGATATCGCTCAGCTTAGTCGTGGGAACGGTCACAGTTCTCATGGAAATTCTATGCATTGACAAATAAAAATATTACTTGCGTAATTTCCTTAGCAACCTGGTATATGCTTATAAACTTATTTTCTTTTAACCTTGAACTAAGTCCATATACTAGCTTGCTTTACAAACATAATTATTATTTAATAAGTACAATACTGACCTTGCACAAGCAAATTTTAATTTCTCATAATGTTCTATATTAAAGAATTGCACATGCTAAATGCATGGCTTATCTGCAGTTTCATATGATGAGCAAAGTGTGCTCGTGTGATATACAACTGTTGTTGTTGTTGTGATAAATTTTGATATCTTAACCCACCGTTCAAGGCTAAGATATCAAGTCATTAACATTATGAGAATAAAAATTTGCTTTGACAACAAACCAAAAATAATAGAATAAATCTTAAAATACAAGATTTGTCGATCTTAGGCTGATCATTATTATGTCCAAATTGGACATTCTGCCCCCGATTGACGCCAGTCAATCCTATGCTGCTACTTCGAACTCGGACATTGCATGTTGCTCTTGAACTCGTCTTCGTGGTTGTGGGTGGGGTGTACCAATCCTGTGACTGTGTATTTCTTCTGAATAAATATCGACCGATTATGCTGCAGAATATGAGCACGCTGAGACCAAGTGATATATATTCCACAATGAAATGGTGTTGGTGCTGCGATAGTGTATTGTTCGGCAGTTCTTCCTGAGACCTTATCATATTTAATATGCTGATGTTTTTCAACTTTAGAGATGATTGCCGAGGAATCGCTGTCCCTATTGGGCTTGAATGGAAGCTTGTGTTTGAATATTTTAAGCGAGTAGTCATTGTGTAATGGCTTTTTATTGTTGCCGTATGATGTGAGAGTATGCACCCTGGTGGGAGCTCAAGTAAACCTGTATTTTGCAATTTTACCTGAGAATGCTCATTGGCACATACTGCGTTTAGCTTTACAGGGTTTCTTGCGACGAACATCCATTGATTTTGTGCAACAGCCTGGATCCATAAGGTATTACTTGTGAAACTTTGCCAAGTGCAAGATGATGTACTATTATTAAATAGATTTACTTCGCAAGCGCACTTGCCTGATTCAAGAGAATATATTTCTTGTGTATCTGAACAGATGAAGACATCATTTTTTGAAGACACACATTGTGCCAACTGTATTTCTGAAATCGGAAAGTATCCATTCCTATGAGTATTGAATGCCATCATAGACGTACATGGTGTGATTGTCACGTATTCTCCGTTTATGATCCCTGGAACGGGAATAACAACGAATAAATCAAAGGACTGATCATTGATTAGTGGTAGAGTTATTTGAAACAACATTTTAGTATCAAATAAACCACTGCTGACTGTCATAAGAGAATATAGCTCAGAAATGTTGCTCATGTTAACCGGCAACTGCATTGTTGACCTGAGATGTTCCCTCATTGTAGTAACCTCATTCATGAGTTGCTTTGGCGTCAGGAGAAGTGGACTGATTTTTCCATGATTTGTGTCGGTCAACACTCCTAAAAATGCTGATTCGTAAAATTGAATACTTGTTGTTACACTTAATAGTTGAGTTGAAATCGCAGTGAAAAGTTGGTGGAGTTTTAAATTATAAATTTCCTTGTCCTCTTCTAACATTTTTGCCTTTACATCGTTCAATCGCTCGACTGTTAATTCAAAGGTTGTTTGATACTGCTGCTGATTTCGTTTCATGATATTTAGAGTAGAATCTAAAATTGAAGTTTGGTTTTTTAGAAGGTTAAGCAAATGTTTGTCGTCATTTTTTAGTTGTTGAATCGTCTGCGCCATATTTTTAGCGTATTCTGAGTCCAAAACGCCGAATACTGCATTCGCAATGTTACCCACTAAATCGATTGCGCCTCTCTTCTTTCTTTTGTTAATCTGCATTATGTTTGCATATAACAATTCATTTCTCGCTGCCTTGAACTGTTCAACTAACGTCCAGCAGTGATTATATCCATTCATCAACTTACACACGTTCGCTAAGGATTCGGTTCCATTTTCAATAAATTCAAACTCCTGCTGCAATGGACTTAAGTCATAATATGCTATGATTTTCCATTCTGCTTGTGATCTTTTGATGACTCCTTTGTGTTCGAAATGAATGCCTGGTGTGTTATTAAATGATTTTATCGTGATACCTAACCCTGATATCAGTGGTATCCATAATAGTACCAGCAATGCAATGGCTAGCAAGTTGATGTTGAGTTTTGCTCGTTTTTTAGGCTTTTCTGCATCACATCTATCAAGTTGCATCATGGGGGTTGAACAATCTTCCGACAATAATGGTGGTAGCCGATGTATTGGACGCTTCCAAATCCCGTTTTTCGTTTTGACATCTACAACTCTGATTCTTCCATCATTACCGGAATAGCAATTGATGATTCTGCCCAGAGGCCATTGAAGCGGAGGAGCGTTGTCTTCTTGAATGATTACCAGCATTCCTTCTTTGACGTCACTGTAGCTAATTAAGATACTCCTTTGACCATCTTGACCAGAACTCGTTTTTTAGATGATTCACCAGCTTCCACCTGGTTAAAAGCGATTGTTTGGTTGTAGTTTCTGACCTACTTGGATGGGCTGTTAGCTGTTCTCCTATTAAGAAGTGTCCTGGTGTGAGGGCAGCCGGGTCATTTGGGTCTGATGACAACGGTGTTATTGGTCTGGAGTTTAGCATACTTTCAATTTAGGTTACCACTGTTTCCAATTCCTCGTAAGTGAGTGACACGTTGCCAATAGTTCGCATCAATAGATATTTAGCTGATTTGACAGCAGCTTCCCATAATCCTCCGAAATGTGGTGCTCTCGGAGGTATAAAATGAAAAACAATTCCTTGAGCTGAGCAGGATCTTATTATGTTGTTTTGAGCATTTGTGCTGCGAATGCTTTCAGCTAACTTGTTCATTTGATTTTTAGCGCCCACAAAATTAGTCGCGTTGTCACAATATAAGTTCTGACATCGACCTCTTCTTGACGTAAACCGGTTCAAAGCGCCTAAGAATGCATCTGTAGTGAGATCACTAACAACTTCCAAATGTACTGCCTTCGTGGAGAAGCAGCAAAACACTGCGATGTATGCTTTGCGTGGTCTTTTGCCTCTAATTTTGTGGTGTATCCATATGGGACCACAGAAGTCCACACCTGCGTTGAAAAAAGGTCTTTGAGCTTGGACTCTGTCAGCTGGTAGATTGCCCATGATTTGTTTGAACATGTGTGGGCGTACTCGAGTGCATTGTACACAATGTTGCACAATGGATCGAGCCATAATCTTGCCTTTTATTGGCCAAAATCGCTGCCTGCCCTGGGCTAAATTTGTTTGCGGTCCCCAGTGAAGTCCCTTCTCATGTAAATGTTTCATTATGAGCTTAGCTATTGGATCGTTATATGGCAGCAGCATGGGGTGTTTGGCATCGTAGGTAAGACGCCACTATCGTCGATAAATGGAGAAAGTCCGTGGAGACTACTGCTTCCCTTCAAATCCCTTTTCTTTAAGAGTTGATGTCGTTCTTCATTGAAATCACTTAGCTGTATGGCTTTTATAATTATGAGTAATGACTCATCCAGTTCTAATGGTGTCAAATTGATGTCGTTGTGTTTGCTCTTATTATGTAACCCTTTGATGAATCTCAACACATAGCCAAGAATTCGTTGCAACCTAATGAATGAGTTTCCATGCCTTATCGTATAAATCATTTTGATTAGTTCATCATCATGTGAAATTGTAAGCACATGTACCTTCCTTTTGACTTCCGCTTGTATATGGTCGGATGTTATCAATTCCTGACGGAATGGTTGGGGCCAGCATTCTTGATTTCCATGAAGGAAAAGTGGCCCATAAAACCACATTGCATTCTTCTGAATGTAAATTGGATCTACACCTCTGGATAATATTTATTTATTATTAATCAGCTGGATTTTGTTTAGTATTGACATGCCTCCACTATTCCTTTAGTGTTAATTGCTGAATCTTACTGATACGATGAGCAACGAAGGTTTGGAATGTTGATGGTTCTGAATTGATCCAATGCAGTGTTATCTCAGAATCAGTCCACATATATATCGGATGATGTTCATATTCCAAATCCTTTCTTACCTTTACTACCAATTGTGCTCCTAGTAAAGCCGCACATAACTCAAGTCTTGGTATTGTCTGCGTTTTTAGTGGAGCGACGCGTGATTTTGAACAAAGTAACTGAACTGAGATAGTTCGATCAGTCATTTCGGCTCTGATGTAAATGGCAGCTCCATAGGCCCTTTCGGAGGCAACAGTAAATACATGAATCTGAGTATTCCTTGGTTGTTTATGATGAAATATATGTCGTGGAATCTTTACATTATTTACTTCACATAAGCTCTGACGAAAATGGGTCCATTGAGTATGCATTTCAGCAGGCAAAGCTTCATCCCACGAAAGTTTTAACTGCCACAATTTTTGAACAAATATTTTCGCCTTCACTACTACGGGAGCCATTAATCCAAGTGGATCAAAAATGTGCGCCAACTCGGAACTTACGGTCCTGTTTGTTATTTTGCTGTGTGTAGGTCCGTTAGTTTTTATTGAAAATTGATCAGATTTTGGTAGCCAGATAAGGCCTAGAGTTTTTACTGTCTTATGTGACTCACTGCTGACATCGAGATCCACTTCTTGATCTTCTGGAGCGAGTCCTTGAAGTAATTAGGAATTATTTGCGCACCACTTGCGAGGTTTGAAACCAGCTGTCGCCAATATTTTAATAAGTTGATCCTTTGTTGCAATTGCCTCCATGAGACTGTCTGAGCCACTTAAACCGTCATCGACATAAAAATCCTTGCTGAGGGTAGCGGAACCAAGCGGAAATTTAACGGCATGCTCTCTAGCCAGGGTTTGTAGACACTTAGTTGCCAGATACGGCACTGCTCTTGTGCCATACGTTACCGTTTTTAATTTGTAATAGCACAAGTTTTCTTCTGGTGACTCTCGCCAGATAATGATTTGAAGATATTCATCTCGTGGATCAATTAGTATCTGCCGATACATCTTTTCAATATCTGTTGTAAAAACGAAGCGTGGTTTCCTGAAACGCAGTAAAATGGATGAGAGTTCGTTCTGCACGACTGGACCATTATGCATGATATCATTGAGTGAGACTCCGGTTGATGTTCTTGCAGATGCATCAAACACCACTCGAAGCTTTGTTGTAGTACTATCTGCCTTGATTACACAATGGTGTGGCAAAATGTAATGTGGATGCATTATATCATCCTGATTGATTTTTTCCATGTGGCCGAGATGTTCGTACTCTCGCATGAAGTCAACGTACACCTTCTTTAATTCAGAATTCTTCAACAGCCGACGTTCAAGACTAAAAAACCGATTCATCGACATCTGCATGGATTCACCAAGAACAGTTGTATCCTCCTTAAATGGTAGTTTCAAGACAAATCGCCCTTCATGATTGTGGTGAGTATTTTGAGCAAAAGATTCTTCACATTTCTTTTCTGCATCAGTGAATTTGTCATCCGTTTGATTGATTTCCTCCAATTGCCAGAATTTAGTAAGTATATTATCCAATGATTCGTCATCAGCTTCGCTGCACATGCCACAGGTAAGTAACTTTTGATTACCGTTGCTAACTTTGCCACTGCATATCCATCCGAAAACCGTGTTCTGAAGTGTAGGTAGACCCTCACCTATTTTGATTTGACCAATCGATAAAAAGCTGTGATAGAATTCTGCTACAATTAATAAGTCAATTTGATTTGGATTCGCGAAGTCTGAATCAGCCAATTTTATATTCTGAGGAATTGACCAACCAGAAGTGTCCAGACACTGTGTTGGTTGGGCTGAGATAATTCGAGGCATCACGAATGCGTTGATATTTACATTGAAATCATTAATTCGAGACTGAATTTTTGTTGTCACACTGTATTTTGTGTCCCTTTTGCTTCTACCAATTCCTTCTATCCATAACGGTGATGAGTGTAACTGCAATTTTAATTTTCTTGCCAGTTTTTCTGTGATTAAGTTTATTTGTGATCCAGAATCGAGTATTGCTCTGCACTCAATGAAATCACCATCAAACGTAGCTATTTTCATATTAACTGTACTAAGAAGAACGTATCCCTTATTTTGTGTTAATGCTGTGATTACAGTAGAAGGTTGATGACCGGGTTTCTCAACCAATGAATCTGATTTGACATTGATCGATTTGTGTGTTGTCTTGGAAGACTCTGATAAGTGCAACAACGAATTGTGGTTCTTGCTGCACTTGTTGCACCGGGAACTTTTGCATTCTGCTGCCCTATGGCTTGTACGTAAGCAGTTTAAGCACAGTCTAAGATTTTGTACTGTCTTGATACGACCTTGTGGTGTTGATTGCAAGAATGTTGCAATAATATATCGAATGTGATCCATTATTACGGTTCTTACAGGTTGATATATTTGCCTTTCCCATAGTTGTGGCAAGGGTTTTTGCTGAGCATGGCTTCTCCCTATGGCCAGTCGCCTCTAAGGACTGGAATCGTGATTCCAGGAAAATCATGAACTCCTTAATCGACTGAATTTCTCTTGGATGAGTCAGCGACTGTTCATACAAAATGCGAGTCTGCTTATCTAGTTTGAGGAGCAAACTATGAAGCAATAGCGGCGACCATGAATCAGTTTCGAGTCCCACATTCTTCAGTGCCAGCAATCCTTCAAAAGTAACATCATGTAGTGTCCTTATTTCTGTCGCTGAAGGATTGGTTGATATTATTGGTTGATTTAGAATTCTTTGAATGATTGTTGCTACAATAATTCTTTTGTTGTGATATCGTACTTGTAGCAAATTCCATGCAGTTTGATAATTCTCGTTGGTTATTGACAGGTGTCGGACTAAACCTTCTGCTTCTCCTGTTAAACTACATTTGAGATACCACATTTTCTGAGCGTTAGAAAGCTGCTGCTTGTGAATCATTTCGGTGAACAAATCGTAGAATTGACACCACTTCAAATAATCGCCATCGATGTTTGGTATTGTTACCTTAGGCAGTGATATCCCAGCGCTGTCTGGTTTACTGATTCCTTGTTGTAATTGTTCATTATTTGCTTTCATTGAAGCTAACGAAATTAAAGTTGACTGAACCAATTCTTCTATTTCGAGATACTCTATATCCCATTGTAGTCGGATTGTTGGTGTACTCCCAAATTTCAAAATTAATGGCTTCAATCTCATTCCATAGCTTCTCAATTCTTGCCATATTCACTTCATAAAAGGATTTCATCTGAACGCCTGTTTGACGATTGATGCCTGCTATGAGTCGCTTCAGTGATACACAAATTGCACCTTGCTTGTGTATCATTCGTGTTATACTCGTGCTATATTGTCCTTCCTTCGGTGATGGCATCGGTTGACGTGCTGTCGTTGCTGAGTCCTTTGAGGAAG